TAATATATTTAATTTTTGAAATGAGCTTGATATAAAAACGTATTATATTCAAGATTAAATACATTTAAAATATTTTTTTGTGACAAAATTTGATTAAATAAGATGAAATGTCTATTCTGCGTTTATGCGACATTATTGTGGTTTTCATGTTATATCCTAACCATAAACAAAATTTAATAATCACTTGTAATATTACATTCACAGAAATGATGGTCGTATAAAACCAATTAAATCATTTACAATGATCTTTAACCCAGTGATATCAGAGGTTGGGTAAAAGTCGACTTTTATCTTATCGAAACAGGACAAAGACAATTTACTTAAAATAACTTTTATTTTGTCGATTCACGTTCACGTTTAATAGAACGTGAATCGGCAAAACATAAAATGCTAATACCTAGTTCAGAATTATATGATACTATTCCACTGCCTATCAGAATTACTGGGTCTAATTAAGAAAATAAACATGGATCGGGAAGTGTTAAGTTTCAGAGATTCAGGTGGTCAAGACCAAAACACCTGAGGATAATAAGCGAAAATTCGCTTTACTTTTCAATCTTTATAACATGATAACTTTAATCTAGAATATTCAGGGAAGGGTAAAACTGAAGGACTTAGATATACTTTTGTCCCAACCGAGGTCCCAACTATCTTAATGTAACATTTTTTTAACCTTATTTAACTTATTTAACACCGGAATTTAACCTTTTTATACAACAAATGTCGCTTGCGTTTTTTATTTAACATTATCAAGTGAGTTAGACATTTGGTACACTTGTACTTAAATAGCAGTAAATGTCCCCATTATTGAGTGACCCCACCCCATTCTATGATTGTCATGTGTTGTCTTTGTCTATTTTCATCATCCCCATTTGGTCATCTCGTGGCGTGGTGGATGGCGTGTAGTGCCGTTTATCCGGTTATTTTGGTGACAATTGTGTTTAAATGCAGTGGTTTGATTACAATAATTAAAATCAATGATATATTGATATCGATTGATATTTGGTTAAATAAATGGATAGTTATACTGTTATCTATACTTAGGTATCTGTAGCGTACCATATGGCACAATCTATTCGTCCAATTAGTTAACTATTTCTTTTAATCGAGACCTAAAATATTGTCTCTAAAACAGATCTGTATAACAACCACTGCTTAGTAGTTTGCGACTAATATTTAAACTAACCTTAAAATTTAAAGAATCTAGACAATATTATAAACCAAGTCTGAGTAAAAAATTACTTAATAATAGTTAAATTTGGAGAAAAAGTCCTTTTCATTGGTTTTACGTAGGTACCCAGAATAGAGCCAAAAGTCGCTCACTTGATAGTTAACAGAAACTTGGATTTGAGTAAAATTCACTCACTTCTGTTGCAATAGTTTCACTCAAAATTTTAGTTGTACTCTTACTAATATAGTGAATATTTCACTCAATCGGGTGTGGATAGAAAGCGATACATTATTGAGTAAAATTGAGTAAAATTGAGTGAAATATTTTTTCACAGTGTAGCACAAAAAAATACAACAGCAGTCAATTAATACGACCTGCAGATATAATTACGAAACCGTCGTAATTTTTTCAAATATTCTTTATTTGAATCGTAGCATTCATTATTTTTTTATTAGGCAACAATTAAGAATATAACATTTTGTATAAGAAAACCTAAGTTTTTAAAGTACCTAGTTGTAATAAAGTGAAAACATTTCATACAAAAAAAGAGGTAAAATTTTACCTACCTTTCGGATCAATGTGTATTATTATTTTGAGAAGTTCTATCATTATCAGATAAAGTTCGAATAGTGCAATTCAGTGATCTTGTATATTATGCAGGTTATTTTTGAATCAGAATGTTAAAACAAAAGAGAGAAAATGAAATTTTAAGTAGGAAACTTTCTTCGAGCATGAGAAAACATGAAAATAATTAGTGACAAACATGCAATGCTAAAAACACAAATTTTTAAGTAACTCCTAAACAAAATATGTATTTTTTCCATTATCTCCCAATACGCCTTAGATATAAATAAGTTAAATGTATTAAATAAACCCTTCAGCAATTTCCAAACCGTTGAAATAAACACACTGTATTTCAAGACACGATATAGAGTAGTGGCAGAGAAAAAATGCATAAAATTATAACGTAGACTATAATGAAGACATAAATTACTTTTAAAGAAAAATAAAATCTCAGTGCATAGTTATATCATATCAAAATTAAAATATTATCATTCAAAATTTAACTAATACATTTTAATGGAGAAGCATGTCAAAAAGATAAAGTTTAGGATCGAAGTGGCCAATTTAACAATTTTACAATTAAATAAACGTTAAATGAATTAGTACAAAAGAAAATTCAAATATTATAGTATCAGAAAAACACATAGGCTAGAAGTTTATTATAAAAATTGTCATTCAGAATTCCATATAGAAATTTCTTGTAAACTAGTTTTAAGATGTAATAAATACTACGCAGTTACAAAATACAAATTACGCCATAATTTATTAAAAATAAAATCACATCGCATTATGTTGGAGAGAAAGTGCGCAGTAAGAAAACAATATCTCATGGATACAAGTGACCAATAAAAAAAGGACAAATCAGAAAATTTACCTTCTAACGGAAAACAACACAGCATCGTTGCGAAGTAAACAAGTTGGAAGAGAAACTAGTTGGTCCCAGATACAGGTTATGGGTGCATGTTATCCTGTAGCTCCCCAAATAACATCGTAGAAAACCAGGACGCAACCAACTCACAAAAAACGATCCACAAGAGACGAGAACAGCTGTTTCACCTACGACTAAAAAGCGAGGTTATAGTGAATATTGGACATTCCAACACTGAGGTAATGGAAAATGTAGGTCCAGTTGCCTAAGCATAATCTCCAAAGCATAAATTAGAGTGTTTACAAATTCGAATTAAAAACATTTTGTGAAATCAAAAACTGTATTTCAAACTATAGACAATATCAGTGAATAGAAATTAAAATCATATTTTAGAACATTACATAGTATAAGGATTAGTTAAGTTTATGTGTTTTTGCTTTAAGTTAATTTGTTTCGTAATACATTAAAACAATACTATTTGGTTAACCAAATATTTTCAAAATTAAATTAGGTAGAGTTAAGAAAATTTTATTAGTTATTTATTCATGTAAAAGTCCATAACATATCTAGTTTCTGTGTTTCTTAAAAATATTGTTCGGAATTTAAAGTGAATAGTTAATAAATGTCACATTGTTAAAATCGTTAAAAATTTGCCTTCATTCATTGCTTCCTACTCAAATCTATAGTGATAGTAAATTTGAATAATATTGAACCGCTTCTCTGAGATAAGAACTCATGCTAGTATTCATAATAAGTGTTTTTGAGGGACAGTGTATCATTGATTACTAAACATTCCTATCTACACTGTAATAAAGTGTTCACTGTTAATATTATTTATGCAAGATAAAGCTGCCGGAGGAGATGTAAGCAAAACCAGGGTAAGAAAAGTATAATTCGATGAAATTTGTCATTGTTATTGCTTAACTTTATCCTGAGAACCTGCATCCAATAAAAAGTAATTTCAACACAAACAAATTACATTCTACACAACAAAAGGTGCCCAAACAAATATTTAATCATTAAACATTACAAAAATTATATAGGATACTACATAACAAAAACACAAATACCTACTAATACACAAAATAAAGTCTAAAAATAATACCATTTATTTTAATTGATATAATGTAGTTACTGATGTTTGACTTATGTATCTACTGATACATATAATACCATATACAGAGCCTTCATAAATGATTACAAGCCACGTAACCAGCAATTTTGTTTGGAATAGTAATTTTATGTCCTTCGCGTTGGCAATTAAATTACAGTAAAATTAAAAATTATTAAAACAATAAGATTACAATTATATTAAAATACAATATTCTGTTTCATTAGATGATTAGATGATTGGTGTAATTTTACACGAGATTCTATTCAACCAATCAGCGATAGCATAATTTCGGTTTGTCATTATTCATTGTAAACGAATCAATAATATTGATGACGCTAAAAATTTAGGGAATTTCCGTTATCAGTACCAACCATGCAATGTTGTGTTGCCTAAGCTGGGCGGTCACATGGCTATGGAGGCTCTGTATTTGAAAGCAACCTAGGAAGCTTCTGATTTTCGGAATTTTTAAAGAAACAAAATGTTATGCATTTTGTGTATTTCAAAATTTATACATATATCAAAATTAGAAAAGTATGCAGGTTGTTTCATTTGATTAAGGAGGTGTTAACGGCACTTTATCAAAATATGTATAACCTATATATTTTTAGATTTCAATTTGAATTCCGTTCCAATGCAATTAAAACTCGCCCCTCTGTATTAGGTATCTGCCGTTTTACTAAAAATGTCACTTCCCTCTCTTAATTACTTTCGGTTACTACAATTAAAATAATCAAAACTCCACTAGGTACAATTATTTTAAATATAATAATATGAACATAATTCTCACTGTATATAAAGGAATTTTATCGAGTTATTTTAAATAAAATTAGGAAATACTTCTACATAAGGTTACCATTACTTTAAATGTCTGAGTCCTTGGATAAAAATGTTAATTTTAATATTTTGTCTGTTATGAATGAATTTCTTTACATGGGAATTACCAACTCCATATTCTGATTTTGTCTCCATATTCTAGAAACTTTAAGATTGTTATTGTTATGGATTAAAAAATCAAAATGCATTAAATACTTTATAGTAAATAAATAAATAATATGAGAATATGCATGGTATATTAAGCGTCGAAATAATAAATAATAACAATTTATACACACTGGACATATTTGCGTAAATTTCATATATTTACACATCTTCTACTGCATTTGCCACCCATCTGCGTCATTATACTTGACATTGGACTTCTGCCGCTACAAGTTTTGATGACGTCCTACGTGAGTATATAACTAAGCCTCCTTGAACTCTTATATTCAATATTACTTCAACTGTTGAGTGGTCAACTGTAGTAAAGTGTTAGTGAGGACAAAAGTTATATCTATTAAAAATGTACACAAACCCGTTCAGTCGCACTCATAGCTGTATGCGCCAAGTTATTGATCGTTTTTTACACATAAACGATCACAGGAAATCGAACAATGGAGGTCTAAAAAGAAATGGTTCCAATAGTTCGGTGTTTTCGTCATCATCCATGGCATCTCATAAATCTCCAGTGACTAGTGCTAAGAGACTTATTTCGATGGCTCAATGAGCACTCAGTGGCTACTTCTGGATTACTTCTTTTTGTTGTGGATTACATTAACAAAATAGGTAAGATTTAAACTCATGTCATATTTAAAAAACGAAGAATCCTAAAGAATTGATGCCAATACGCTTAAATGATAACAGTAAAGTTAACAGTTCTTGTTGTATTTGCAGTGTAGTCATGAGCTTCAGCTAAAGGGCCTAGAGTAGAGAAGATTCGTATGCAGCCAAGCTAAGATAGATGCTTTAAAGAGAGCGTTCAAATTAAAAGCTACTGGGAGATGCGACAAACTATTCATTAAGGAATAGTATGAGAAGAATAAATTGTATTGTATGCTATATGTAACTTAATATTAAACCTTTATACCGTAATGTATGTAATGTAGTTTAACAAAATATATATTACTTTATATACATTTTGCTTTTTAATGTTTTTTGATACTACTCCTAATACATACATATATACATATGTTTGCCATTGAAAAGTGTGAAACATAAAATCTGATTTTACTAAATCGTAAAATGATTTAATAATCATTTTGTACTTCATTCAATTTTTAATAATTATATACATAAATTTAAAAACAAAGTACGAAAATATACAGTATGGTATACGTATGATATCATTAAAAATATGAAATTGAAAAATTTTTACTTTAAGAAGTATAAAAATAACAATATTGGTTTTTACTTGGAAAGTTTTAAGAGAATAAGAGCTTTAGTGAAGTCGCAAACTAGAACAGCATATAAATTATACATAACTGATATTGAACAAAAAATTAAAACTGACTCTTAAGTATTTCTGTAGTTACATTCAATCAAAAAAAGGAACTTCTAGAATACCTGGTAGACTGATCAACGATAATTTTGTTTTTAATGCACCACAATCTATTGTGGATGGTTTCAGTGATTACTTTAACAGTGTTTACTCTAACTCCNCGGAGTTACAGCCCCCTGAAGTCCGCCCCTAAGAATATTTTTTTTTATATCTCAGAACCCTGTTGTACAAGAATAACTAAATTTGGTACACAGGGGTTTTATGACATGTGGAATCTGATGGTGCTACGTTTTTTGGCGGGGAGCCCCTTTAAGACACTTTTTCGTGGGCCCCACGAAAAAAAAATTTAGTCGCATATTTAAATTTCTTAAAAATTATTAGTCCACTAGAAAGTCATTAAATTTAGAAATTTTTTGTCCCATTATACTTTTTTCGTAAAACGCAAAGTTTTCGAGAAAAATGTCAAAATGTGATCGAATGCATATCTGATTCGCCATTTTCCTCAAAAATATTGCGTTTTACGAAACAAATATCAATAGACAAAAAAGTTTCTAAATTCAATGGCTTTCTAGCTAACTAATAATTAAGAAAAATCAATTTTGCGACAAAATTTTTCTGGTTCCAAAGACAAGGGGGCCCACGAAAAAGTGTCTTAAGGGGGTTTCTCGCCAAAAAGCGTAGCACTGTGACATTCCACAGGTCATAAAACCCTTGTGTACCAAATTTAGTGATTCTCGTACAACATGGTTTTGAGATATAAAAAAGACTTATTGAGAAAAAGACTGCAGATTTCAGGGGGCTGTAACTCCGAAAGAAGGGGCCAGTTGGCAAAAAGAAAAAATACGGGTTCCCTAAATTTGTCTTAAGAATATATGACCAAATTTTTTTGCATGAATTTCGGGACAACCTGTACAGGGTGTTTCAGGATTAAGTCGACAAACTTTAAGGAGACATTCCTTATAAAAAAATCAAGTATAATTTTTTTTCCAGAGACGCTTCATTTTCGAAATATAGGGCGTTAAATATTTTTTTAAAAATTCGAATTTTTTAAATAACTTCTAAATGAAGAAGGCTATTTAAGCCAAATTTGACAAGACACATCTTCTTATAAGATACCATTTTTCCATAGAAGTAGAACCCGCAAGCAACCAGTGGCGGAGTTATGGGGGCTCAGACTCATTAAATTATAAGACAAATTAATACGCCCCTACTGAAAATAAAATATGATGCTGTTTTTAGATAGAACAGTTTGTTATTGACAAAAAGTGTACATTCACTTTTTTTCCTAACTCTTATAGTTTCATGGCAAAATTGATTTTTCGGAAGGGTGCTTCTGGATTCTGTCGATAAACTTTAGGAAGACGTTCCTCATAAAACCTAAAAAAAATAGAATAAAAATATAGGCACCATTTACTCGAAGGGGAATTTTAAACCAAAGGAACAACCATATTTGGTCCTACGTGAATTTACGGGCGGTATGGGAACATAGTTTTCAGCATGAATTCCGATGTAACGTATGGTTGGGTGTGTTGGACAACACTACAGTTGGTCCCTACTTCCTTCCGCAACGGTTAAATGCCGACATGTTTACCGAGTTCCTTAATACTCGAATGAACAGTTGGTTTCAACTGGATGGTTGTCCTGCCCATTTTGGTAGAGGTCCTAGGGAGTGGTTAAACATTAATTATCCCAGGAGATGGATTGGTCGTGGAGGAGCCGCAGCGTGGCCCGCACGTTCACCGGACTTGACACCGATGGATTATTTCGTTTGGGGTGCTGTTAAACAAAAAGTCTACGAGGTGCCAGTTGATATCCTAGAAGATCTAAGACAGCGAATAGTCCAAGCGTGTCGAGAATTAACTCCAATTCAATGTCGATCGGCCACTACCTCCATAATTAGAAGATGTCGTGTTTGTCTACAGTCCGGAGGCGCCCATTTTGAACAAAATATTTTTTAAATCATTTCATTTTTGATTCACTTTTCGCTTTGTCTAGGTATAATATTAATTGGTAATTTTTTGGTTGTTTCAGTTTACAAATAAATGTTCATGTATTGTTTGCCATCTTATTTTATTTAAAAGTACACAAACACAAGTAAATGAAGTGACTACAAACCACCTGATAAAATTTAGGAGTATTGCAAGGGTCGTTACGTTGTCGCATCACGACATAGTTACATTAGATGTTAGGTACTTAAATATTTCTATTGTTTTCATCAACATATTTTTTTTTCTAAAAAAAAATACCCTATATCTCAAAAACGAAGCATCTCCTAAATAATTTTAATACTATTGGTTAAACCCAAGGGAAGGGAAGACAAAAAGGCTTATTTGACTCACACATACTCGAGACTAAGACCATTTTTAATAGGTGCTATATTTTTTTAGGTTTTATGAGGAACGTCTTCCGTTCCGACAGAATCCAGAAGCACCCTTCCGAAAAATCAATTTTGCCATGAAACTATAAGAGGTTAGGAAAAAAAGTGAATGTACACTTTTTGTCAATAACAAACTGTTCTATCTAAAAAACAGCATCATATTTTATTTTCAGTAGGGCCGTATTAATTTGTCTTATAATTTAATGAGTCTGAGTCCCCATAACTCCGCCACTGGTTGCTTGCGGGACTTCTACTTCTATGGAAAAATAGTATTTTATAAGATGTGTCATGTCAAATTTGGCTTAAATAGCCTTCTTCATTTAGAAGTTATTTAAAAAATTCGAATTTTTTAAAAATCTTTAACGCCCTATATTTCGAAAATGAAGCGTCTCTGGGAAAAAAATTATACTTGATTTTTTTCTAATTTTTTTATGAGGAATATCTCCTTAAAGTTTGTCGACTTAATCCTGAAACACCCTGTATATTCATAAAACCGGTTGAGAAAGACTCTTTTGGAATTTCGGTTAATTAATGTGTATTCGTTAAAATACGCAATAATAATATTCCCCTTGGGGACTGCCTAGCCGAGTGTCTTGGCCGGCGGATTTCGATCTGCCGAGGCAAGCATCACGGACGTGGGCTGGAATTTGGATGGGTGACCTAAGGCAGGCTCGGGGACGTGGCTGTGGCAGACTACCTAGAGACCTGGGTCGCCCAACATTTGCCGCATGCGTGTGGTCCCCGATAAAATGGTAATAAGAACAGAGTAAGAAAATCTCTGTAACTCAAGACCATGCTATAATACATAAACTGTACGGGACTTTGCCACCAAGCCACCCGTGGTGTGGTAGGATGGTTTGAAGAAAAGTACTCGAGTAAGGAAGGAGGGTGTACAAGGGGCCTAATAAGGCCTAAGTGCCGCGGTGGAAGACAATTCCACCACCCTCCGACATACATACATACATACATACATACATACATAATATTCTTCTTTTTTTTAGTTAATTTAATTCAAATATGAAAACGTATATTTTAAAAAAATATCGCTAGAGGTATATTTTTACGATGTAAAAAAAACAATGTTCAAGGAAATACTTTACTTGCATTGCAACATTGGATCACTAAGGTACATTTTATTTATAAATTATCGTGATTTTTTTTTCGTTACTGAAAAGAAATTATTACAGACGAAAGAAATTCTACTTTTTTTTTCTAATTTTCATCAGGTGAAGTTATATGCACTCTTCGCACGAATTATTCAGATAAGATGTAACTTTAAGTGGGGGTCAGTTTTTTAGGGGTAATAGTAGGTACATGTTCCCCTAAATACGAGTCTGAAATTCTTTTTTTTTATCAAATAAATAGTCGAGTTGTAGTTTTGGTAATTGCGCTTTCTATTTGCGCTGCGACTGTGCGGCATAAACCGGGGCAACTGAAATTAGCATGGTAAGTTGTAACATTGTACTATCAGTGTTGCCAGCTGTTGCACTTTTTAAATTAATTTACGTTGTGCGAAGTTACAATGGAAAATAATTTAGTAAACAAACTGCTTTTATATGGTTTTGATATCAATGTGGAGAAAGCACCGACAATTAAAAAAACGTTCTATTGTTTTAAAACAAAGATTTTGTTTACATGATTTATTAAATATTATCTAATTGGTACGTTAGTAATGGTAATTAAAAATATGTAATTTATGTTTTAAAATAATTATTTTCGTCGTTTTAAAAAATGCACATAAAAAAAAATTAAAATACTAATTTGGGTAATATGAAAATTTTTTTTTAATTTTTTTTTACAAATATGTGTTACTATTTATTTAAGCAGCGTATGTATTAAATTTGTGATCTTAATATCAATGACCTCTGCCTATTTTATTAAAGATAGCTTAATACTGTTATTTAGTGAAAGATTATGACCTCCGCTCTAGATTTTTAATTTAATTAAATCAAATTTGTATCACAAATGCGTTTTTGATTACGTTTCTTCCTTATGATTTCTCATTGTTAAAATTTACAAACATTATAAGAATGTATGCTAAACATTTTTCACTATTAAATTAAAAACCACAAAGGAAAAAATGTTAGCGTAAAAAAAGAAATCCAGATAATTATAATTTTTTTTCTTGGAAATACTATAAATATCATGTAAAAGTACACAACGCAATCAGGAATTATGTTATGATAAACTGCGGGATTTCCGATTTGAACCATCCCACATTATTGGTGTAAATTAGTTCTTAAAACATTACTGTGCTATAT